ACTAATCCTTTTCCTCAGTGTACTCACAATAGCCGCGTTAAACCAAGACCATGTTCAGTAGAAGTTTATAGGTTGAAAAGAGTCATGAAATTGTCGAAAATACGGGAAAAATCTTGTCCCGGCGGAACATTTCAAATTTAATGCAGAATACGGGACGTCTCCATTAAATGTCTCCATATGAAATGTAGGCAAAATTAGAATTATGGATGAATTTAAATGAAAATTCGCTTCTTAGTAAAATTGAGGACGCTAAATTCAAAAATGATATTTCTTTTTGGATAACTTTAATTTCTTCACTGTAATTGCAATTTGAAGTTGAAAATTTGGGTTCTTGTGGCATTTACATAAGTTTGTACATATAATTCGTTCTACTTTCAAAAGTGAGGTGTAAAATGACAGGGCTTGGCCTGTAGATGTGCAAAAAGGTTTTATTTTATTGAAACGCGTTGCCACCTGGTACAAATTTTATTAAAATTATTTAATAAATTGAATTAACTAAATATTACAATATGGATATCAATCGAAATGGTTTTGAAAATTCTTTACTTTTAAACGACACGTAGAAGGGTTGCCACATGTTTAAAAAGTCAAATTTACTTTCATTAAGGGAATAAGGTAACTGAGATATGTATATAAATATGGGTATCAGACAAAAGAAAAAATTTTACACATTAAGCCAGAAATAAGTGAAGAGTGAAAAAATTCCTGAGTTAATTTAAGAGTCCAGTTCCATTTAAAAGGAATGTAATGTAATGATAATGTATGTATTTGTAATAAAATAACATATACGATGCAATTAACCTTTTTTTGACACAATTATTATGTTAGCTTAACTAAATTTGTGTTTACAAAGCCACCTTCTCTTCGTAATATTTGAAAGCCAAGCCTCTTACGCCTCACTCCCATACGGTAATACCTATTTATTTAAATAACCTAATTCCTCTAATTCCAATGGAATCTTATTTTTTTAACAAAGCGGCAAATTGAATTTGCTAAGGGCGTTCAAAATGGCTATTAGAGCGAGAGGAAAGCGAACGTATAACATCTTCTTTATTGCATCATGGTTTTCACTTCGCTGGCATTTTATATGACCGTGCGTGGTGATATATGACAACAAACGCAAATGACAACCTGTTTTCATTATTTTGACAACATCTGACGTCAAATATGACCTAATGAAAACCAGGAAGAGAATACTTCACGCCAAGCTTTTCAGGGGTTCAGCGCTCCCCTGCAGTGAAAAGCCAAACCAGTTAGAAAAAATACTAGTTCATTAAGTAGTATGTGCCTACCAGTTCGACAATTTCGAAGAACTTAGGCGATCAGCGACATCTGCCTTTGAATTGCCAAAGCCAAAAATAAAACGCAATTATAATTGCTTTTCTTACAAATGTCGGCTGTGGTGTCACGTGAAGACTACTGATTCTGGTTCTGAAATTGCAGGTTCGAGGCCGCTTGGAGGTGGTTAAGATTTTTAAAGTTAAATAAATGTAAGTAAAAATAATTTATTCAATTTATAAATAAATAACAAATTTGATAATCTAATTGCATTGCAAAAAAACATTTAGGAAGAAATGCTTGTGCTATAAAAACAAAGAAATTAAACAAAAATATTTTTTTTTTTATTAAATTTAAAAATTACAATAAACAGCCTAAACAAAAAAATAAATTTATAAAAAATAAAAATAAAATAAAAAATAGAATATAAAAAAACTTTCCCTGCGCCAGGATTTGAACCTGGGACCTCAGGCTTACCACGCGAGTGCTTTGCTCTGTCGGCCATTGTGACTGCTGGAGCGTCGCGAGCAAAAAGGCACACTTATGCTTTTCACGAGGCATGAATTGGCAGACCATCTCATCAACTGGTATGATGCTACTAATATTTATACTAGTAGATGCTGATGCATAGACTGACAATTGACATCTCGTAGGACATCGCAATGTTAAAAATACCAGTCGCTAACATTGAAAAAGGATAGAACGTGAACCAGTTCGGCTGAAACGCAAACCGGTAGAATTCTAGTTCACAACTAGTAGCTTTCCCTGCAGGGTCATTTCAGTCAAGTATAAGTTTAATATTTTCGCGTGAACACCGAATTTGACAATGCCCGAAAAGCTTAGTGAGATGTTTTTTCTTACAGCAGTATTGCAACAAAGTCACCAACCTTAACTCATCACTGCTGTGATTTCTACTGCGCCTCAAAGTTTGCCGCTGCAACACAAATATTTAAGTTCATGTGTATTTTTCTAGCAATTAAAATCGAATTTTTGTGGCACACTTCGCGGCGCACTAGAAATCACAACAGTGATGGTTTACTCTGTTAGAAGCAGGATATTAATATATTCAAATGATTGGGCATTTTTCCAAAATTTGTAATAAATTGCTGCCCTCATCGTTTGATCGGCATAATATTGGGCTTCCCAATCAAGTTTTGGCTTTTTTCCAGCTAGATTTACCTTTTTTGTTTGGGTTAAGCCGCAGATATTTCTGTTTAGGTTTTTTGTTAGCCATTTAATAAAACTTCCTTCGCTTTTTTATTTCTCTCACAAAACATTACAAACGTCCCCTGGCCTTTTTGGCACAGATATTTTTCAAGGATCGCCTTTATTCACGAGCCATACATCTATAAATGAAACATAGGATTTTCTATAATTCCTTCAAAGAGAAAAGGCCTAAGGCGTGCCTGATGATAGATAATCATACAACGCCTTTCTCATTCCAGAATTTACCGTACGGCAGTCTATGGTTGCGGCTGTAGCAATAACCTAACCAGTGTTGCCACTCACATCTTTTACCCCACCCAAAAAATGTACGGAATTGCTTTTGAGAGTACCAAAAAGATTTTTTTGGTGTAATAAAAAACTTTTCAATAAAGAAAAAAGTTTTCATCATAAGTGGACTTCACTATATTAAATTTCTGAAACTTATTTAAAAAATGTAAGCTTAAACTCACACAAACTAAAAGGACCCGCACTCACAGTCGAACATATTGGCACAGAGAATTTTTAACAATGTAGATATGCAAAATTTTTTATTTAAATTATTTTCATCTTTTGTTTTTTATAAAAATATATATGTTCGTAGTTCAAACTATGGATGAAATCTATTTAGTATGAAATTTAACGTGTTAGGAAATATTTCTAGAGAGGGTTGGTTGAAAAAATCCTGGCCAGGATATTTTTAATGGAGTGCAATGGGGTATAGCCGTTGTGCTGGGTATGCAGTTAGAGTTCAACAGCTATACTCACCGACGCTTGCGTCCTCGTCCGCGCGCTCTGCACAACGAGAGCAACCAATGTGTGAGATGCGGTAACTAATCCGAGTGGAGTCTTGGGTCACGGCAGAAAGAGAGGGAGCTTCGGTGAAGCCATTCCGACTTATTCCGTTTAAGGGCTCACTCACCAGTAGGTGGGCATGCAAGCGGTCGTCTGTCTGGGAGCAAGAGCAAGCGGCTCGCTAACAAACGTGTAGGCGGTTGCGAAACCACCCCCTCCCAGCAATGGGTTGTGCGCTGAGTTTAGGGTAGTCTTGCCAGATTTTTTTTCCTGCCTTACGGGACAAATGCATCATATGTAATAAAATACGGGATTAACAAAAATTTAACGGAACAAATGAGAAATAAGGGATTTGCCTTAAAAGTACAACTACGAACCATATATTAACAAAGGTCATCCATTTCAACGTAGTATTATTCAGATTAGTTATAAGCTTATGATAAATTTCGTTTATTTCATGGCAACACTGTTGGAGGAAACCATCATTCGTTATATTTAGCTAAGAGCCGCTAAATTCAAGCAATATGTAATTACCACTTAAGATGTATAGTCTATCTACCACCTCATATAGAAATTCTAAGCTATCGATTAATTCCAACTAAAAGGGTATCGATCATCACTATATTGAATATACATACACATTTTTCTTCTGATATAATAAAGGCACTCGTTGTTTCGTTACTCCAAGCAGTAGTCCGATATTTTATTCATACATAAATTTGGCGACCGTGACAGGACAAATTACGTTTCATGTATTAAATATTCGTAATAGCACAAATATTTGATTTTCGTAACTTCTGGGGTCCAACAACATTTGCACAGCTTTCGTTGTCGATTCTGGAGCCTAGCAGCACTAGTGCATACACATTTTCGTCGTGGATTCTGGAGCCTCAAAGCAAACTTTGACATCGTGTTCTTGGAGACCAAAACGGATTCATAAACTCATCGGCCTTTCTGGAGTCCTAACCATAACTTTCGTTGACACTTTTCAAGTACTATCAGCATTCATACGTTGTCATCGTCGTCGTGAGTGCAGCCTCAGTAGCATACATACATCAACGTTGTCGAAACACACCTTTTGAAACATCGCTGAAGACGTTGACGCTCACGTTTCGCTGCTACCTTCACTGTCAGCTTCACAGTCGTCGATTTCGCAAAACTGTTCATTTTGTCGACATATATACATACATAAGTCAAAAAGTAAGTACATTAAGTATACTGCATGGACCAATAAATAACGTTACCCAAAGGGAATTGGCCTGTCTCTGCGAGTCGATTGTTATTTTATTTGAAAAATTCAATATTTCATCGATCGTTGATTACTTTAATTCATACCTTCGCTTCATCCTTTATTGCTACACTTCATTTAAATCTCGCATTTGGTTTGGACCGCATAACCTAAAATGAGTGATAACGAGTTCGAAAAATCCACTCCCACAAAAGATTATAGCTTACACTCACTGGAACTAGAACGTTCTATATTAATACAAAGTATTATTAAATTAATAAACAAAGTTGATTCTGAAAAAGAAAAACCCGATGCCACGATTTGGGAATGCAGGTTAGAAAAAATTGAATCATACTTTAAGGAAGTGTTAGGAATTCAAGCTAAAATCGAAAAATTAAATCCAAAGGATGATTCTAGAAGCGATTTGGAAGAGTTGTTTGTCTCTGCTTAAGCAAAAATCATTCCAATTGTGACCGCTAATCTTCGCAATTCAATAATGAGTAGTACTGTCTTGAATTCCAATACCTTTCCTACATCGTCACATCATAATCGTTTGCCACAACTAAAACTACCACAATTTGATGGAAAATATAGTGACTATAAAAGATTTATTCGCACATTTCAGAACATGGTAGACGACGATGTTAGCATAGCCGTTGTCGATAAATTTAACTATCTATTGAATTGCTTGTCGGGGCCAGCGTTGGCGGTTGTCGAACCGTTCGAGGTTAGCGATGCTAACTACCCCAAGGCTTTAGCGCGTTTAAAAGAGCGATATGACAGCAATGTTTTAATTTTTTTGGATTATATTTCCACATTATTTAATTTGCCTAAGATGACAAAGCCGGAGCCTCACCAATTGCGCAGCATAATTGATACCGTATCTGCTGTACGCGCATCTTTATTGCCGTTGGGTTCAGCAACAGAAATAATGAATTCAATGTTGACTTATGTGGCTCTTTCAAAAGTAGATTCTATTTCTAAGGAGACGTATGAATAAAAACAAGGGTACCGATCATGGCCTACGTGGGAAAATTGCTATGATGTACTAAGTCGTCGCTGTCAGTTTTAAGAAGGCCGAGTAAGAAAATGTGATTCATCTGGGGATCAACGGGAAATAAAGCCAAGAAATAACTCACATAAGCCTGCGCATTCCTTTGTCAGCTCACAATCTAGTTGTTTCTACTGCAATAAAACTGATCACACTTTAGGCAACTGCTCCTCATTCCTATCACTACAAGTTTCGCAACGATTTAACTTCGTGGAGCGCTCTTCACTTTGTATTAACTGCCTTCGTAAAGGTCATGTCGTATCAAAATGCCCATCTAAATTTAAATGCACAGTTTGTAGGGCCGCACACCACACACATTTGCACATTTTTTCTCCTTTATTACAGAACAATCGGCAAAACGGCTTCAACTGAATTGGAAGCCTGGTGTAGGACAAATTCGTACTCAATTTACGCACGCTGTCTCGACTACTATTAAATCGCGATTAACCAACTTTGAGCGGACCCTAACATTTGCTATAACAAAAACAATTTCTGCCCAGTTACCCGATCAAGTTATCTGTAGTAAAGACTGGAATATACCAAAAGGTATACAGCTTGCAGACCCTTATTTTTTATAAGCCTCAATGAGTAGATCTTTTAATTTGTGCAAAGATATTTTTTGAAGCACTGCTTGACGGAAGGATGTCGCTAGGAGAGGGTCTACCGTGCGCCGCTAACACTGTTTTTGGATGGATAATTGGAGGCCAACAACGCTCAACTCAAACATCTCGTAGCGTAGAATGTAATATGACTTTTGAAGCTGCAACCGATTCGATGTTAGCAAAATTTTGGGAAATAGAAGAGCTTGTTCCGAAAGCGAATTGCGTCACCGAAGAAGAAAAAGAGTGCGAGGAGCATTTTATCAAGAATGTGACTGTTGATACCGAAGGCCGCATACAAGTTCGCCTTCCGTTTAAACTAGCCCCAGACACATTGGGCGAGTCTCACGAGAATGCTCGTAAAAGATTTTTGTCCTTAGAAAGGCGCCTTCAAAATCAACCTGATCTTAAAAAAATGTACACAGATTTCATGGACGAATATCAAGCACTATGCCATATGTCCCCGATAGCTAAAGTAAATTTGCAATCACCTCACTATTTTATCCCGCACCATTGTGTACTTAAGCCACAAAATGAGACCACAAAGCTCAGGGTAGTGTTTGACGCGTCTGCTCGGACATCATCCAACAAATCATTAAATGATATCCTAATGGTGGGGACCAACCATACAGCAGGAGTTGACACTTACTCTTCTTTCGTTTCGCCTTTATCGCTATGCCTTGATTGCAGATATCACAAAAATGTATCGGCAATTTTATGTACACAATCATGATCGTTGGAGGATGGTTCCGTGCGCAGAAGTGGACAACTTTTGACTGCCATTC